CTCCTTAAATATGAGGGAACTCCTTAAATATGAGGGAGCTCCTTAAATATGAGGGAACTCCTTAAATATGAGGGAGCTCCTTAAATATGAGGGAAGTTCATGTAAAAATGGAATTTTTCCATAACTTTTTGAAGCCCCTTCATATCTTCTTCTTGTTAAATGTCGAGTTGTCTTGTTAAGTGTCGAGTGGGTTCCAATTCCCATTGATCCTGTATAGGGTTTCCGAGGCTGGCAATCTTTGTTAGAGAAAAAAAAAGCTTCATCTTTCTCTAGCAGAGCGGCTGGTGGGCTAGAAACATCAATTTTGTAGTTTGTAGTCCAGTGCTTATCCCACAGACCCACCGTACTCCCTCCCTCATATCTTACTCATTTCTCAACCACATAGTTTCTCACACAACTCCATTTTTCTATCCCAATTCCTTAGTAATTGCCAAAGACCACAAATTAAAGGTGTCATATAAAATGACAGCTAACAGGAAATGTGTGGGGAGAACAGCCCAGAGACCAGCTCCCATAAAGAGGACAGCATAGAACATCTATAGGGACCAGCTCCCATAAAGATGACAGCATAGAATAATCTATAGGGCAGCTCGACTCTGTTACATGGGGTTGTCGTGTCAGAATTAACTTCCCATCAACAGCATGCTATCCTAAACACTTGGCTTATAATCACTCTAACCTCACAATTCTACAAAGCAGGTATTTTAATCCACAAGCTACAAATAGTGTGGTGCTATAGTATCAGCCTTGGACTTCTAGCCAAGAGGTCGGGCGTTCAAACCCACCAGCTGCTCCTTGGAAACCCTAAACAGGGTTGCTTTGCTATGTGTTGAAACCAACTCAGGGACACTAAAAAACAACAACAGCTGAGGGGGAGACAAACAAGTCCCCCAAGTTTGCATGGCCAGCTGGCGGCATCTGCGCTCAAACCCATTGGAGTGGAACTGGAAAAACTGGGCTCCTCCCACAATGCCAGATTGCCTCCCAGTAACACACATGACACCACCCTGGTAGTGCAGCGGGGTAAGCACGAGCTGCTAACCCAAAGAGCAGCAGTTCCAACCTACCAGCCGCTTCATGGCAGAAAGACGTGGGCATCTGCTCCCATGAAGACATACAGTCTCGGGGACCGTGAACAGGTCTGTCCTGTCCGGTCCGGTCACTATGAGTCAGTTAATAAACACTGGGAATTCACTATGCTTTTCTGCTTTACGGGGCTCCCGAGCCAGTGTCGAGCTTTCTTTTAAGACCATGCCTGCCTGGTTTCTCACACTGGGAGGAGAGGCCAACCTCCCTGTAGTTCACAGAGAGCGTCTGGAATGCCCACGCTGAGAAAACGGCAAGAGAGGAAAAAAGTTATAACTAGAACATCTTCCCGGCCTCCAGATATCATGAACGTTGTGTTGCTCTGAAGCATTAAATAAAGAAATCAAATCAAAGGAACATTGTTTAAGTCTTCTTTCACAAACAGGAAGATTAAGATGCAAAAAAAATTAATCATGAGGTGCAACAGCGCCACCTATGGCCAAGAGAGGCTTTCCAACTTGCTGAACAAGATGCAACACAACTCTTGTAGAGTAACAAACCCTCCGTGGAGTTTTTGTAAACGACCCGTATGCTCAGAGGCCAAAACACAGCGTTTGGTTAGCACACGCTTGAATGTTGCTTCGGGAAGAGGACAGACTCTCAAATCTTTAACTACCCTGTTGTTGTTAAGTACTGTGGAGTTGGTTCCAACTCACAGCAACCCTGTGTTCAGTTTCCGAGGCTTTAAATCTTAGCAGGAGCAGAAAGCCTCATCTTTCTCTTGCAGAGCAGCTGGTGGGCTCAAACCGCAGACCTTGTGGTTCTCAGTCCAGAGCTTATCATACAGAGCCACCGCATCCCCTTAACTCCCCTAGATAGAAATAAAGGAGAGAGACATAGAAGCTGATCTTAGAACTTAAAGTAATATGGTTCAAGCCTCTTCCGTTCACAGACAGGGAAACTAACATCAGCAAGAAAACTAACTTTAGCCCTAATTTTGCTCTCCGTCAAAAACCTACTGCAGCTGAGTGGATTCCGACTCACAGCAAGTCCATGGGCCAGAGGGAAACTGGCCCTGGCGTTTCCAAGGCTGTCACCTCTGTGGAAGCAGATTGCCTCGTCTTCCTTTCATGGCAGGGCTGGTAGGTTCAAGCCAGCCACTTTATGTTTAGCAGCCGAGGACTTGCCCACTGCACCTACCAGGGCTCCCTTAACCTTCTCTATCCATCTGCATCTGTGGAGTCCTGGTGTGGCACTCTAGGAGAAGCTCTGGACTGCTAACCACAAGGTCGATGGTTCAAATCTACCAGCCGCTCCTCAGAAACCCCATACAAGATCACTATGAGTACCAATTCAACATCACTTAACAACAGCTCCCAATCTTTACGGGAGCAGACAGCCTCATCTTTCTCCCTCGGAGTGGCTGGTGGGTTTGAACTGTGGACCTTGAAGTTAGCAGCCCAATGCCTAGCCCACAGCGCCACTGGTGATGGTGGT